GTTAACTACCGTAGATTAAAACTAATCAATAGATTGATATAATTGAATAATTAGAGATAATAATTAGTATAAAGTTAATTATATTATTTAATTAAATAAATAAGAAACAAAAAATATTGAGTTAAAGTTAATCTTTATCTTTTTAGAGAATCGTTCTTTACAAGGATGTAATTGGATAAATTTCAAATACCAATATTTAAAGATAGGGCTAGGGCCACAAAACAATGCCTTCCTAAATAGGGATAACAATGAGACAACTGAGTCTAAATCTTTACGGGGGCGGAGCGATTTTGGAACTGTGTGGGGCGATATTTGAACTATGCAAGGCGGGACGAGTTGCTTTCTTTTTTAATAAGATTTTTTTGTGGATGCGGGTCAACTTTCTTTCTGCCTTAAATTTATGTTTAATGATAAAATTACCCTACTAGATACACATCCAGATATAATATGTACTAATTCTATCTATTCTTTCAAATAATTATGTATCTTACTATCAATTAATAGTTTCCTACTATACATTGAGGAAAATACAACTAGATACATGTATTTTTACTACTAAATATACTAAAATAGAGAGAGACGAGTGAGATAGTCAAGTATCCTAGACACATGCGAATCACACTAGATCTATACATGCATATGTATGTAACTTTTGTGATTCACATGAATCTGGGACACCAAATATATAGTAGAGTGACGAGAGAGATGGAAGAGAGGCAAGTGAGATTTGTCTATGTATCTCATATCGATACATGCAAATCCATTTGGATATAGTGTATCTAGAACAAAATACACCTAATTTTGACCACATGTATCTAAACGTATCTGGATGTACCCGAATCTGATAGGATTCGTAATATTATAAACTATAGTGTATTTAAGTAATTAGTTCCTAAATTAGTGCAATTTACGTAAGTTTTTTTTTCAAAAATTAATACATATAAAATAAAGATAGGAAGTAATAACTAGTCAAATAATGAACATAATTTCCATTCTTATTGTGCGTGTAAGAAGGACAATTTGGAAAACTTATGAAAGGGATCGATGTGGCAAGAAACTTTGTAGGAAGATTGAACCTTGGATTATTAATGGAATATTTTCATATAGATACAAAAATTGAATTATTTTACTAGTATATAGAAGAGTCTGGGAAGCAGGTCTTCGTCAATATGTTTGCTTCTTCGATAAGGATAATTTGGTCATTTAAAGAAGCGGCTAGAAGTAGGCATTCCTTTGTCGACGTATTTGCTTCTAGCTAAGGGTATTTGTGGAGTTTTTGTGCTTTTTTCGTTTTAATTTGTTTGTCTTACTTTTCTTTTTTAGTCAGTTATATATTTGAAAATTACCTAAAAATATTTGTATAAACCACAACAATTAACAATTTAAAATATTAAAAGGTAGATAAAAATTCAGGTGACTCTTGAAATTCTGTCAGTGCCACATAAAAGGTAACTTGAAGTTGATTTCCGAATATTTTCGAGATTCAAAAAGCCCATCTTCAATAAATTGTTTTCACAAATTTTCACTCCAAATCAGTCACATTTTCTGTTCATATTCAAACATAACTTCAATTTTCATAATCTTTTCGTGAAAGAAGATATTATTCTATTATATATAATTATATACTTTTCTTTTTAACTCTTTTAAACCCTTATTTTGCAATTCTTAATTTTTCCATTTCATTTTTTAAAATCAGCATTTCTTTACCCTTTTACAGCGAATAAAGGCAATTTTTTTGGGAATTACTGATAGGATACCTTTTGTATTTAATATATTTAATTTAAAAGAAAAGAAAAAACATCAAAATCAACAAGTCTTCAAGTCAAGCATACTTTTTTGATAGATACTTCATAATTTCTTTTATTTCAATTTATGTGAGAGTTTTTTCCTTTTAATCATTCTGACAAACATACTTTTCTTTCCTAGTCTGAAAAATTGCATACTATGAAAGTAGTGCTAGCAATGACACTATAGATTCTTCTATTGTTTATTATTTTGAAAAACATCAGGTTTGGAAAAAAATAAAATACTATGGTCTATGAAGAAATTGTCTATATCATGCGATATGTGAAAAGATTACATTAAAGAAAAGTTATTCACTATTTTTGTTGATTAATGAATTTTTATAAATTAAATGTATTTGAAAGTTGTAATAACTAACATTTACTTATACATATAGATATGCAATGGGAAAATGTTCAAATATACCATCAACTTTGAGAAAATGTTTGTTTATTTATTCTAGAGCAACTTTCACATATAGCAAACTTTAAAATCATATTTGTATGTTATAATTATAGTTTGCATAATTGCGCTCCATAACAAATTTTATGTTTGCTATGGAGCTTTTGATTTGTATAATTCGCTACAAACATTCAATTTTATACAAATTGTTCAATTTTGTATAAATTCATTTATACATTGTAATTTGTATAATAAGATCTGTATTTGTATAATTATAAGTGTATAGGACGAAAATATATATATTTGTATTTGTATATACACATTTGTCTCACTTTATACAAACACAAACGCATTTTATACATTTTATACCGAAATGTATAAAATGGCTAATTGTATGCCGAAAATGGTTAATTGTATACCGAATCAGATGGCAAAAAAAAGGATGTTTGTTGCGAATTACAATTAAAATAAACTATGGATATATCATTTAATTTGAATTAATAGTTTTCTATTTCATACAATATTCCCTTTATTCTATTCTTTAAACGTTTGGCTCGTTTATGTCATTTTAAAAAAAAGAAAAGGTTCATTCATGCCAATATTTGTTAACTAAAATGGCATAGATGGGCCAAACTTTTAACGGATGACATAAATGAGCCTTTTCTCAAAGTTCGAAGGCATATTTGACCATTTTCCCTTTTAAAAATAATTTAATCAATGACATGGCCGAATTATAATTGACCACGTGTAAAAACTATTTTGCAAACCCGGAAATATTTTTAGTTCACAAATAATGGCATGGATTGTTGACCATATCATATATGATTTCAAATATCTGATATGATTCTAAAAGATCTTAGACAATATTCTACTTTAAGTTTAACTATGTAGAATTGATCACACCATCGATATTGTGCAAGATATGATCTGATATTGGATCTTTGTATATAAATAATAGATAGTTTATCAATTGTAAAGCATAGAAATACAAAATATTTTTCATCTCTTTTTGGTTCCTGATTTATCAATTCTTATATATCATGGTATCAAGAGCCTAATTTTTTTCTAGAAACTGCTTTACTTTTTGCTCTGTATTGTTGTTTGATTTCTATCATCGGTTATCTCTTGTCTTTCTAATAGAGTCACATTCTCACGACATTTTGGCTACCAAATTTGATGAAAAAATTATCCGGTGTGAGAATTTCACGGATTTTTTTTCAAGGGAATAACTTGTTTGGAATTTTGGATGGATCAACAACCGACCAAATGAAGACAAGGAAAAACATGCAAATCTACTTGGATACAATGTATCTAGCACAAATTACACCTAGTTTTAACCACATGTATTTGAACATATCTGAATGCACCAAAATCTAATAAAAATTCGTAATATTACAAGTTAGAGTCTATTTAAGTAATTAGTTCCTAAATTAGGAGAATTTACGTAAATTTTCAAAAATTAATACATAGAAAATAAATATAAAGGAAGTAGTAACTATTCAAATAACGAACAAAGTTTCCATTCTAACAAGTCAATTGTGCGTTAAAGAAGGGCAATTAACTTGGAAACTTATAGAAACTACGTGACTATATTTTGGATTGTTAATGGAATATTTTTATATAGATGCAAAAATTGAATTATTTTACTATTATATAGAAGAGTTTAGGAAGCAGGTCTTCGTCAATATGTCTGGTTCTTTGATAAGGATAATTTGGTTATTTAAGGAAGCAGTTAGAAGTAGGCATCTCTTCGTCGACGTGTTTACTTTAAACTGAGGGTATTTATGGAGTTTTTGTGCTTTTTTCGTTTTAATTTATTTGTCTTACTTTTCTTTCTTAGTTAGTTATATATTTGAAAATTACCTAAATATATTATAAATTACAATATTTAACAACTTAAAATATTAAAAAGACAGATAAAAATTCAGGTGGCTCTCGAAATTACGTTGGTGCCACATAAAAGGTAACTTGAAGTTGAATTCTGAATATTTTTGAGATTTGGAAAGCCTATCTTCAATAAGTTGTTTTCCCAAAATTTCACTCCAAATCACTCACAAAAATTCAAAAACAACCCCAATATTTGTTCATCTCCAAATACTTCAATTTTCATTTAAAAAAATAATACTGTAATATTTTTTTTCCTTTTCGGCAACTTCTAAATTTTATTTTTCACATGACATATTTAAGATTATAAGATTGTTGCATACAGTTTTTTATACAGATAGCTTCGACTAGATTTAAATTTTACCAAAAAACAATACACAATAGAATCATATTTCACCAAATTGTCTTAGATATGTTTGTACTTTTAAAGAATTATTAATTTATAATATTAATGAGACCATATATTTATATAAGGGTTTTCTGAAAATATATTATCTTATTATCTTATCGAAATGTGTGATTTTTTCCACTAGCTCAAATCGGGATCAAAGAAAAATATTATTTTAAAGAAATTATTAATTAATCAAATATTAATTAATCTAATATTAATTTAGTAATGTTTTACTATATGAGACGAAGGATTATTTATTATCAATGTGAAAAAGTTAAGACAACTACATCAACGTGGGAATGGTGTACATGCATGGTCCAAACAGGGACAATTGATAAAGTTGTAGAGAAGACTTGACTTAATTAACATATAGTACCATTTAAAAAGGAGGAAAAAAATCTACATGCATCTTCTTGATAGCTATAAATACATATTGCTTGGCCTAGTGAAAAATATAAGCAAACAACTACCACACACAAAAAATACTTTTCATTTGCTAGTCTAAAACATTGCACACCATGAAAGTGTTAGCAATAACAGTATGGGTTCTCTTGTTTTTTATTTTTACAAATACCAAGTTTGTTGTTTGTGTAGGGATTTGCAGAGAAAATGAGCAACGAGCGTTGGAGACCTTGAAGAAAGAAGTAGATGATCCCTCAAATATTCTCTCTTCTTGGGTTGTTGGAAAAGATTGTTGTGAATGGGAAGGGGTCCTGTGCAACAATCTCACTCGTCATGTGATTGAGCTAAGCATTTATAGTGATTGGTTCGAGTCGAAATATATAAGGATCATTTATACCTTTTTCTCTCAAGAAATCTGTTTGAGGGAGATGTATCTGAATTATTCAATGTTAGGAGTAATTTCCTTTCAGTGGGATTGCGAAATACTTCTTCTTTATCTACTTTGGGACTAGGCTATAATAAACTCACAGGAGCTCTTCCGGAAAGTGTTGGCCAGCTTTCAATGCTAGAATTCTTTTTCATCGATAACAATAGGTTGGAAGGTGTTGTAACAGAAAGTCATTTCTCTAAATTAACACAATTACAACTCTTCTCTGCATCTAGAAATAATCTGACTTTAAAAGTGAGTAAGAATTGGATTCCACCTTTTCAAGCCACAGACATTGTAATAGGCGGCTGGAATATAGGCCCTTTGTTTCCCATGTGGCTCCGAACTCAAAAGCGGATAATGAATGTCGACATATCAGATGGTGGAATACAAGGTGAGGTTCCAACTTGGTTTTGGAACTTGTCTTCTCAAATTCGATTTCTCAATCTTTCTCATAACCAATTTGTTGGTGAGGTTCCAATCATCTCGACACCTTCGTGGACGGATGAACATGAAGGTCCTTGGACAATATACTTGGGTTCCAACAATTTTAGTGGACCATTACCCTTGATTTCAACCATTGTAACTGAGCTCGATCTCTCAAACAATTCTTTTTCCAAAGGTTTATCTAATTTTTTGTGTGAAACAAAGAATGGATCTTACAAATTGGAGATCTTAAATCTCGGGGGAAATGATTTATCAGAAGAAATTCCTGATTGTTGGATGAATTGGCCAAAGTTGACGGTTTTAATCTTGAGGGACAATAATTTGATTGGAAGCTTACCAAGATCTATGGAGGTTTTGAGTAATTTGCGATCATTAGACTTACGAAGAAATAGACTTAACGGTCCGTTTCCTTCATCCTTGGAAAACTGCACAAAATTGCATAAAATAGATTTAGCTGAGAATGAGTTTATTGGAAAGATACCATCTTGGTTAGGAATGAGGTTTCCAACCTTGATAGCCCTTATCCTTCGGTCCAATAAATTCGATGGTGAATTGCCTCAAGAACTTTGTCACCTCAAAGATCTTCAAATCTTAGACCTTGCAAACAATACATTTGTTGGAATCATACCAAGGTGTATTGGCAATTTGAGTTCGATGGTCAAAGAAAAAAAGGAATTGGAAGATGATGAAGACTTAAATTATTCTTATTATATAGGAGTTCTGATAGAGAGTGCAATGGTGACGACTAAAGGCAACATGTACCAGTATGACACAATTTTGGCGTTGTTTACGAGTATGGATATGTCTAGTAATAATCTTTCTGGAGATATTCCTATAAGTATAACACGTCTTGCAGGATTAAGATCATTTAATCTTTCCAAAAATAACCTAACTGGTAGGATTCCAAACGACATTGGTGACATGAAAGTCTTGGAATCTGTTGATCTTTCAGAAAATCAACTTTATGGTCAAATTCCACAAAGTTTTTCGAGTTTGACCACTTTGAGCTACTTGAATCTATCTGATAACAATTTGTCAGGTATGATACCGTTGAGCACTCAACTTCAAAGCTTTATTTCCACGAGTTTTCAAGGAAACAAACTCTGCGGACTTCCACTCTTGGTGAATTGTAGTTCAGATGACAATATTCCAAATCACGAATATGAAGTTGATGAGAGTGACAAAGATGAAGTGGATTGGTTTTACATTTCAATGGCTATTGGATTCGCACTAAGCTTTTGGGGTGTTTGTGGTTCATTGCTTTTCAAGAGATCATGGAGACATGCTTATTTTCGTTTTCTAGACTGTAGCTGGAAAATGTTACTTGCAAAGTTACCAATATGTTGAGAGATATGGTTTAGGATATTTCTATCATCAAAAGTTAGTGTGTTCTTACATTTCTCATGTTAGCAGTCATGTTGTTTCATTTTGTATTCAAATATGTAGACTTTTATGTCTTAATAACTTCCTCAAATGAATGTTTCTTAAGATGTTCAAACAATGTTGTCTCTTTCATAGTTCCAATTTTCTTCTTTCAATCACAGAGTTGTGAGACATATGCTAATTTCTTTATTTATAGTTTTTTAGTACTTAATAAAAATAGTTCTTTACTATAACTATTTAAATAATATATCAAACAAAAAAAATAAATTCACCTTGAATTTTTTTGACAAGACACCTTATCGGTCAAAGTTTAAGATGGGCCGAATTGAGAATATCAAGATGGATCAAGTCAACTTATTGACCGACCTAAATTACTTTAACGGGTTAGGCCGATCATGTCTTTGTATGCAAACTTTAAAGTAGCAAAAGCTAGCAAGGCAGAGTTCTCTGCTTTGGCTGGACAGAGTACTTCACTTGTTGTACTTCAATTCTGTGGCAGGGGGCACCGACCCGCCCCACACCACAGCCACCCTTGTGTAGCCGGGCTATTATGCATGATCAAAGGAAGCCTCGAGGTTGACTTAGTGGACAGTACTAACAAACTCTGTACTCAAACTCTACAAATTTGGTGACATGTTTGTGCTTCCAAAAGGACTAGTGCATTATTGGTACAATCGATGATCGGATTCTGGCCAAGTCATTCAAGACTGATGTTGCAGCCATTCAGAAGATCAAGGCTGATCTCTCATCCTTTTGTTCGTAAACCAGTTTAGCGATGGATTAACAATGAATTATCAACAAATATTATTAGCTACATGCGATTTAGCGATAGATTTGCAACAAATTTCATAGCTAATTCTCTTCTTTTTTGTGTGCATAATGCTTGTCCTTAAATTATTCTAGCTAGTGTGTACTAAACTACTCTCTTTGTCCCAATTTATGTGACAAATTTAAATTTTGCGATTCAAAATCTTTTCTTTAACCATAACTTTTTGCATATATCTTTTATGAATTATTAAATATTGTGACTTATAGTACTTTTTATGTAGTTCTCATATACGTAAATTTTATTTTATAAAAAATAAATTTTTCATATCCGAATTCATTATAAAATTAAAAAATTTAACTCTCGAAATTCAAACAAAAAAGGCGAATCATTCTAGGAATTGGCTAATCTTGGAAAGAGACAACAACTTTTCATAACATATCTCAAAGGTGTGTTTGGTATGTATTCGTTTTCTCATGTTTTGAAAAATATTTTTTTTGAAAATAAGTTTTTTTTGTAAATTTAAAAAACAACTTTATTAGAAGAGTAGAAAACACAAATTCTCATAACACCTTGTTGTGCAGGTTCAGAGCCTAGTGCTTCAAGCCAGGTTTTGGAAGAGTTGTATCTATTTTCTTCATATTTTACGAGTTTTACGAAAAATATCATTTTATGACTTATATTGTTTCTTAAATGTTAGTTCCGCATGTTTGTGCTTCGTATTTTATTTTGTGATCTTGGGTAGGCTTACCTATCCGAAGATTAGAAAGGTGTCATCACATCCCCAATTCTGAAAGTAATCGTAATTGCAAATTAAAACTTCAGTGCGACACTTTATTTTGAAAACAATCCAAAAACTGATGGGAAAAAGTTTTTTATATTTCGATATTGTCGATGTATTAAATCTGAGGCAAGACCTTTGAGTTTATAGACAATAAAAGAGTCATAGGATGGAAAGGTACAATCCAAAAAAAAAAACATTTTTGGTGTAATTAAAAAGATATATTTTTTCTCATTTCTCGTTCACACTTTAAAAACTCCAAAAAAATCAATAAATAGTTTCACTAAGAATTTAATTGGCTCACTTGCAGCACGACATATTTTAATTCGTTGTGATCTTTATGAAGATTTTTGCTATGCTCTTTCGAGACGGGTTGGTTATCTTCAATTTAATGGGGAACAACATCTGTTCCGTAACTTTCCATGGACATAAAATTTCAACACTCAGGAAGAAACTTCAAAAGCTTTGGCGTGAGTTTCGCTATAGGATCTGCCGCCAAATCTTTTTGCTCGAAGACCTTTGTTATAAATTGCATCGGCTATTGGTAAGCCAGTAGCCATAGATAAAGCCACTCAAGATAGGACAAGACCTAGCACATCTAGAGTTAAGGTCATTCTTGATCTTATGGACAAGCATCCGAAACGAGTAAGGATGCATTTTTTGGATGAACAATCTGATAAGCTCGTTGAACACTATCAACATGTTGTGTTTGATAATCTTCCTTTGTATTGTAACTATTGTAAGCACCAAGGTCATGAAGATGTTGATTGCAGACTAATGATCCAGAAAAACAAAAGGGGGGAGGGTAATCAAGATGACATCGAGCAGTAAGGTGACAAAACAAACAATCTGGAACAATTGCAGGTGATGCACGAGACTTCTTGAATGCAAAAAAAAAAAAACTGAAAATAAAGTCTCTGATGATACAGATAATGCAAGTAATGTTGGGTTGGTTCTTTCCCCCACACGCCAAACTCGTTTTATTTCCGAGAAAAGATTGGTTGTGTTGTTGAAGTTGTTGGGTTGTGATTGTTGAATTCTTGTGGTTGTGTTGTTGAAGTTTCTTGTTGGTTTAGTACATGTTTCCAGCTGTGTTTTTGAGTTGAAATCCACTGTATGTTGAGGGGTTTATGATCCCAAGTGTTTCCTGCTTTGAACCTTTGAGGTTGAGAGGGTTTAGAGTTGGAAAGAAACAAGGGGAAAAAGTCGGATTTTTGGGGAAAAGGGCTGGGGTGTCGCGCCAGCCAGCGCACCCCAAAAAGGGATGCTGAACTTTCCCCTTGGGGCAGAGCGCCTGGCAGAACGCCCAGCAGGCCCCTCTGAAGTTTGAGGGTTGGCGTCGCGCCTCTTAGAGCGCCAAGGACGCCAATCCTTCCCTTTCCTTTCATTTCCCATTTTTTTCATACATGTTCCTTGGTAATATACCTATGTTTCATAGTTGTTTTCAACACTCCAAAGTACGTCTAAACGTCAAGAACTCATCCATAACATGTGATCAAACACCTTGGATTCATTATTCCAATTCAAGGAAAGTTAGTTTCCAAGTCAAGTGAAGTTAGAAGTCAAGTGAAGTTAGAAGTCAAGCTTAGAAGTTAAGTAAGTCAAAGCAAGTCTTTAAGGTTTTCCAAAAGTCTTCATTGAACGTTATAACTTCTTTTTTAGACTCAAGAGTTTCAAGTCGAGTAAAGAGTATCGAGTTTCAAGTTAAGTCAAGAGTTTTCAATTAAGTCAAGAGTTTCAAGTTATGTCAAGAGTTTTCAGTTAAGTCAAGAGTTTCGAGATAAGTCAAGAGTCAAGAGTTGAGTTCATTTCTCAAAAGTTATTAGGGAACTAAGTATTTCCCAAAGAAGTTTATAAATGTTTTCACACTTAAGATGAGAGGAAACTGAGATTTCCAAAAGAGTTTTGAGCATTTTGAGTACTATCTCTTTTTGAGAAAAGATGAGTTTTGCAAAAGAGTTTCTAAGATATGATTAGTATGACAAATCGAGCATGTCATCAATGTTTAAAAAGTATGGTCTCTAGATATACCATCAATGTTTAAGCAGTATGAATATCCCGAGTCATCAATGATCATATTAAAATATGGTTTTGAGATGTCTTTTTTTAGAAAGAGATTTCAAGAGCCTTTGAGCTAAGTTTTGATTAATTATCTCAACAAAAGAAAGATGTGTTTAAAACACTTATGATCTAAAGTATTTTTGGGAGTAATCTTGAGCACCGAATTGGGGACACGAGTTCATATTAACTCAACTCTCCATAAGAACCATGTAGCCAAACATGGGATTTCTCGGATCTTACTTTTTAGATGATCAAGAAAGTTAAGCTAGTGGATCCATTAAGCAAAAGTTAAAGTAAGGTCCTATATCACGGCAAGGTATAGGGTGGTCCTTGAGCAACATGAGGTAAAACGTTGTATCACTACTTATACATGTAGTGGTGGCTGTCGGTTAGAGAACTCCCACAGTAGAAATTACATGGTTCCTCGAGGGGTTCTGCTTAGTATGGATGGGGGTATAGGACTTCATTTATGCATTGCACAAGTAGACTTTGAGAGGAAGCATGGTATTTTCATGATATTATATATATGATTTTGACGTCATGTTTTAAATAGTTTTACAAGCTTTATATATATTGCATGTGTCTTATTGCTTTATACTGAGTTCAGTTATTCATGAGTTGAACAGAGCCAAGGTAAGTTCTCTTTTGTATCCCTTTCAAGCTTAAGTTGTTGTTTAGCTTTCCAGCTCGCATACTCGTACATTTCATGTACTGATGTCAGTTGGCCTGCATCGCTTATGATGCAGACGCAGATACCCAGGATCAGCACCCAGCACGTCGTTGATCCAGCTGAGCACTCCAGAGTCAGTGGTGAGCCTCCTTGCTTTCCAGAGGACTCGGATATTTTTGTGCTCCTAGTTTTGTTTTATTAGGATGTTGCGGGGTCTGTCCCAACATCCATCTCAGTATTTAGAGGCTTCATAGACAGTCAGTCAGTTAGTTTTGAGTCTCTCATCTATGTATATATGTAGATATTCTATTTTGAGACTCGAGTTGCCCTTTTGGGCCAGATTTTATCGGTTAAGTTGTTTTATGTCTTTGCATGGCATTGAGTTATTCTGTTGAGTTAGGTTTCTGCTGAGTTAAGAAAGCCAGGCCAATGGTTCGCTTGGGGCCAGCAATGGTCTCCGGGTGCCGGTCCCGCCCAGGGTGTAGGCTCGGGACGTGACAAGATGTCGAATCTCCTTCCACTAGTTTGTGTGTTTACTTCTCATATTTTGAACCCCTTTATTAAAAATCCTCAATGCAGGAGGAACTTTTGGTGCCTGGAATAAAGGTTCAGGAGGGCCTTTTGGTTCCTGGACCAGAGGTTCAGTTGTTAAACATCTCTGGAAAAAGTTTGGCTGATGCTCCGAA